TCAATAGGTTTAATACCGGTAGTGATCACCGACTTGTCCGGGGCTCTCTGAATATCAACTTTAAGGCGGAACGTGTCTGTTTGATGAAATCCAGGCTCCGACCAACTCGGCTCCAAGCCATGACAGGATCTGAAACGTTCCAGTCAAAACTGGAAAACCGATTCGCTGCCGTGGAAACCACAATCGACGTAAACCAGAACCTCAAAAATGTGGTTCAGATCCTCAGGGAAGAAGGTATGAGATTTTGTGAAATGCAGCGTAAGGGCAGGAAGTCGAAGCTTTCAGAAAGGACCCTAGGGCTGATGAAGAAACGACGTGAAAACCCACCTGTCACTTTGGCGGCAAAGCGGACTCTAAACCGAGAGATCAGTAAACTCGTACGACACGACCTCCGGTGCTCCAATACTCTTTCAATTGAAAGAGCGATCGAGCAAAATCGGGGGTCAAAAGTGTTCGTACAATCTCTTGGAAGAAGCCACCTGACAAAGTTGACTACAGAAAGTGGAGAAGTCGTTGCTTCGAAGCCGGCAGTCCTTTTGGAAGTGGAAAGCTTCTATGGCCGGTTATACGCTTCGCATGCATCTCGACCTGATCCCGAAAATGAGGACTCTAGAGCCACATTAACACGTCACTACACCGAAGACCTGCCAGAAGTTAGCATTGACGAAATCGAGATGGCTCTTGGACAGCTGAAAAATGGAAAAGCCCCTGGAGAGGATGGCGTTACAACAGAGCTGCTGAAGGCCGGGGGTAAACCCGTACTAAGGGAGCTCCAAAAGCTCTTCAACGCTGTCCTGTTTGAAGGGAGAACTCCAGAAGCGTGGAGTAGGAGTGTGGTCGTCTTGTTCTTCAAAAAGGGTGACAAGACCAGGTTGAAGAACTATCGACCCATATCCCTTCTAAGCCACGTCTACAAGCTGTTTTCGAGAGTCATCACGAACCGTCTTGCGCAAAGACTTGACGAATTCCAACCACCGGAGCAAGCTGGGTTTCGGAGCGGATATGGCACCATAGACCACATCCACACAGTGCGGCAGATTATACAGAAGACCGAAGAATATAATCAGCCCCTGTGTCTAGCATTCGTGGACTATGAGAAAGCCTTTGACTCGATCGAGATCTGGTCTGTTCTGGAGTCCCTGCAGCGTTGCCAAGTAGATTGGCGATACATCCAAGTGATGAGATGTCTCTACGAAGCCGCCACCATGTCCGTCCAAGTACAGAATCAGCAAACAAGGCCCGTACCATTGCATCGAGGAGTGAGACAAGGGGACGTTATTTCCCCGAAATTGTTCACAAATGCAATGGAGGACATGTTCAAGACGATGCACTGGAAAGGGCGTGGCATCAATATCAATGGCGAATACATCTCTCACTTGCGATTTGCAGATGACATCGTCATCATGGCAGAGACGTTGCAGGACCTACAGCAAATGCTGAATGACTTAGCTGACACTTCTGTACGCATCGGCCTACGGATGAACTTGGATAAAACCAAGGTCATGTTCAACGAACATGTACTACCGGAACCGATTGCGGTACACGGTGCCGTTCTCGAAGTTGTTCAAAATTATGTGTACCTCGGGCAGACATTGCAGTTAGGTAGAAACAACTTCGAGGACGAGGTGAACAGAAGAATTCGGTTGGGTTGGGCAGCGTTTGGGAAGCTACGTCGAGTCTTCTCATCGTCGATCCCACAGTGCCTTAAGACGAAAGTCTTTAATGAGTGCGTCCTACCCGTCATGACATACGGAGCTGAAACGTGGACACTTACGGTACGGCTGGTCCACAAGTTCAAAGTCGCTCAACGTGCTATGGAAAGGGCTATGCTCGGCGTTTCTCTAAGGGATCGCATCAGAAATGAGGTGATCCGGCAGAGAACTAAGGTCACCGACATAGCGTACCGGATCAGCAAGCTGAAGTGGCAGTGGGCTGGCCATATTAGCCGCAGAACCGATAACCGTTGGGGAAAACGTGTTCTTGAGTGGAGACCGCGTCTCGGCAAACGTAGTGTAGGACGCCCACAGGCCAGGTGGAGTGACGATTTGCGCAAGATGGCTGGCAGGAGCTGGATGCGAGAAGCCCAAAATCGATCTAAGTGGCGTGCAATGGGAGAGGCCTATGTCCAGCAGTGGACTGCGATAGGCTGATGATGATATCTAACACTTTCATGTAACTATCATGCTTCTTGTAAAATGGTGTACAAATAAAGAGTTCTATCTATCTAGAAGGTGCAAGACCGTGGTAACCCGACCTTGTTTAGGTGGTTACGAAAAAGCGATCACCCAGTACATTGTGCTGTCTTTTAAAATGTTTAGTGTAATACACCTTACGATTTCGGTACAGTTGCGTACAGTGTGTGAATACATTTAATATTTATTAATACCTATTATTTATTTTGTTTTTTTCCTTATGGATCTTAAGCACTAGTTTCTTTACTTAAAATTTATTTAGTCTTTTTAACTGCGGGAACTACAATCAACAGAAAATCTGCACTGGCCCTCTAAAATTATAAATATTCACGATTCTAGATTCACCTGACTGCAATAAATCGAAAATTTAAACCAATAAGAAATGGTTAAATTTCTTTGATTTTTTTTTTGTAAAAAAAAAATCAAAGAAATTTAACACTGAAGTAATTGTATTTTATTTTGAGATGTATAGAGCTTAGACTTGAATGCATCAAATATTTATAGTCAGCAAGTCATATACAATAAGTTAAAATAGACCCTAATAGAAGAAAAATACAGTTGAAATTAGAATGCATCAATATTGCATCGCCCAACAGTCGTATACCTCGTAAGAGTAATATTGTTCTTTGATCTATACCGAGAACCGAAAATTATCTGTACTTATGTACCTACCGCTAAGCGGTGAGCCCGTGACTGTTGATTTCTGTTGAAAACGAACATTTGTTAAATGATACGATAACGGTAATTTAATTTATCGAGTGAAAGTGATACATTTTTATTTATAAATTTATTGGTCAGATAATATTTGTCAATCAAGAATCGCAGATAATACATCTTAACTAGAACGCGGGAGGGGAGGGGCGAAGGGGTACTTCATTGTTTGTAATTTGCATCTAGTGCTTAGTGCACTAGATGCAAATGTATATTGACGATGCAATAAAGACGTGCATTTCTTCTTAAATAGACAATAAAATCCTTTGCACTCTCAGAAATAGCATCAATCACGCCCGTGTTCGGTCACTGTTCCGAGCGAAATAGGTACTTAAACGTGACAATAGACGGTTCATTTAGCAATTTACCATTAGCAGTTGTACCTATTAATATTTTAACACGACGATTTATTAAATTAAATGTGCTCATCGTGAATCTGAAGCGTTAACGAATGAAGTGACGAAATTTCGTGTAGGTACGTATTAATTTGCTAACTAAATGTGAGTATAGAGACTAATTATTCCATCACTACTAATTACCACTATAAAATATATGTAGTTTTTGTAACACTTATGTACATATCCGTACTAAACTTGCTAATCATATCCTACATATTTTAAAAGCCAGCACAATGTACCAGGTGCTCGCTTTTTTGTAATCACCTAAACATGGTCGGGTTACCATGGTCTTGCACCTTCTAATGACTTTTATTTAATTATCTCGTAAATTATTATATGTACGACGCTGAAATTTTACAGGTAGACAACTGAACTAAACAACTAATTATTGGTATAACATTCAGTTTATATATCCACACACAGGTTTATCGGTGGCCAAAAAAGGCCGCACACATTGTGATCGTGAACGTGGAGAGCTACATTTCATCATAACTTTTTAGACACTAACAGTATACTAACGAAAATTCGTATACATTTGAAGGCAGTTACAAGAAATAAAATAACGTTTAAAGTAAGTCTTTAGAGGTCTTATTCAAAGTGTTAGGACGTATCGAAGTGTTTTCATACTTAATTAAATAATTTTCGGTCCATTATTTTTGTTTTTTTATTGTTAAACAAATTAAAACTATTCCTCAAGAAGTAAGTAAGTAAGTGTACAAAAGATGGTTACAATCCGCTGACCCGTTTCAGAGATCCAGCAAGCCCACAAATGTTACGCCAGCAGGATCTCGAATAACTTCGCAGCCGAAGAAACTACAAATACCAAATAAGTTGTAACATTTACCTCGTCCAGATAACTAATTATTTAGCTAATAATTATTTCAATATTCCAATTAAAAAAGAAAATGTCTGGCTGCGGTAACGTTTCAAACGTTACCCCAGCAGGAAATTTTTTTTTTGAAATAACTAAAAAGTTAAGTGAAACAAATTTAAAAATGTGCCTAACAATTACAGAAGGGGGCAACTAATTATCTATAACGTTTAAATGACAATTTTCGACATTATTTTGCTGGGGTAACGCACACATTTCTCTTTGTGAGAGCTATGATGAAGTGTGTTATGAAGCTGGATAAAATAACCCAATGTAATCTCTTTCATCAAAATTGTTCTGTATTACGATGCTTTTTGCATTGTCCATGTTTATCTAGTGTGTTTTTTGTGCGAGCTGACTAAAGGAGCAAACTATACAGAACAACAGAACTGCAAAGAAATGGAAAACTTAACAACCCGTCTGGGAAGCATGGTATAGTAGGCCAAACCTCTTTTCTAATGAGAGGCCTATCCAGTCTTTGGTGGACTTTTAAAGGCTGTTGATGTTGGTGATGCTTTTATTTACAAGATTCCATGAAATATTCCATGGTTCCTCTTTATGAAACATCAATCTAGTACATTCTGTAGAAACTAATTTCATGAGAACTGTTAAACAATTTATTTAACTCTAGGTAACTTTATTTAGGTCCAGAACACACAGAAGATATTATGTGTTAACAAGTTAACATGGACCTATGTTTATTTAAAAATGTGTCTTGTTCAAGTTAGGAGACTTCTTTGTATGCTATGTACTGTACTGTAACTTGCTCCAATGCATAAGTTATCAGATAAGTTGAGCCTACTAAAACCTCTTGTTTTAATCTTTCAGGCCTTAGATCTCGACGGTATCAAAACGCATCACTGGCGCATCGTGCGTTGCTCTGCTGTGACTGGCGAGAACCTGCTCATCGGCATGGACTGGATGTTGGATGACATCGCCTCCAGGATATTTACCCTGGATTAGCTCACTCTATTTACTATAAGCACTGAACAGATGATTAACTCTTCAAATGCCACCCCTCTGATACGCCACTACACTGTAAAGTGCTTTCATCGGTAAGCACTGTACAGTGTAGTGGCATATCAGAGGTTAAGGGTGAAATTGCACTAATTTTTAGTACTACTTACTTTGTATTTATTTAATTACCAAACTAATTTAGAGATTATGGTAATATGACTACTGTGGTGCATTTATTGAAAAAAAAAACCAATACCGTAATTGCCACTTTTTCGCTTATTAGTTACATTTTACCTATTATATTTAAACTATTACTAAAAGAAGTCTTGTCATAGAGATCTGACAATCAGGCAAAAAAACATTTTACTGTGACAAATATCCATTTATAAAATTGACTAACTACAGGTTATGTAAAACAAGAAATTTTTATTTTGTTGATGCTGGAATGGTTATTTTCATAGTTCTAATAATTGGTAGCCAAATTTGAAAAGTGGTATCCATTGTATAAGTTTGACTGTAGATCTCTATTTCTGCTATGCCTTTTCTAAATGGTATTTTTTAATACCTAGTAGCAATATAGGTCATACATTTCTTATTAGGGAGTACTTTCCTCTACCTACTTGGGTTTAAGACAGTAGTTTACTGGGTTCAAACCTAAAACTACATGACCACCGCACTGTTTACGTGCAATATAAACTATTGCTAATTTTGAATGTAATTACTAAAATTCAGCTTTGCATATAGTTTATTTAATAAAATATATTTAAAAGTACGGCTAAACAATTCATTCCATGTCACAAGTGCTCGGAGAACAACCGCTAAATGAACTGTGATCATTTTGTATGTTACTAAGGCTATATATAAATATAAACTTTTTAAAACAATGTTGTATTTTTTTATTATTTTATTTCCTTAATTTTTTTTTATGTTTTGTTTGTATTTAATAACATTCACATATGTTATTACTATACATATTAATTTTATATTGATGTTTCGTTCTCAATACATCATTTTGATGTAATCATGCAATTTATTACTATTAATTTAAAGGCGCGTGTATTTTCAAACCTTCAAGAAAAGAGCGTACTCCTTCGGAAAAGGCCGGCAACGCGTTTGTGACTCCTGAGTTGCAGACGTTCATGAGCGGCGATGGTCACTTTCCATCAGGTGACCCGTCTGCCCACTTTGTGTTACAAAAAAAAAATCTTACATTATATAGTTTATAATCCCCAAGTAACACTATGTTTATATATTATTTTACTCACATTTTACATCACTAAAGAACTTAGGCAGCATTCTTGAACAATTTCACTAGAACTTGATAGGTTAATTGTTTTATTTTTTACATTTCTGGTAATCTTAAATATAGTATATCTTTGTGGTGACATGGACGGGAATTTACATCTCTGCTAGTTGTTAATCGTTCAGCTTTGGTTGCTATGTGTGTACACCTTAATAATTACAATATCAATGTCCTTCGTAACTATCTAACTAACCTCACTATAAACCACACTTACAACATACACAATAACACTAATACACCATCATCCTATCAGAACTATGAACTTTCAGTAATTTTATCACATTACACAAGCCTTGTTCTTCAATTTTAAAAACCATTTGTTAATGAGAAGGCATTTTTATGTATCAACAAAGGGTCTACAGCATATTGTTACTTATTCAAAGGCCTTAGTTTATAGTTTTAGCTTTGACACTAATACACTATGAGCATTCAGAGATCCCAACCACCACTCAGGACCTCTCTAGAGCTAGAAAAGCATGATGTACCTGTAAAACCATCAAGTATTTGCATGGGAAGCTGTACAAATGAACCATGTAGTACACATAATTATGATTTAATCTACAAACTGGTTAAATTAGTAATAAATAAGTGTGGGAGCCATGCTTTGGCGGGAAACTCCGACCTCATAGAAAACCCATGTAGAGCAGTTCTGTGTATGAGTTTACTGGAGCCCTGATCAAAAAGGGCGGCAATATCCAGTATATTAACTCGTGTCCATCAGCGGCAGAAGACAAAAAGGTGTTTATAGTGATATATTACAAATAAAGTAGTATAATTTTGACCAGTTTATAGATTAGATCATTTCTACATAACACAGACCATATGAGCATAATTGCTCTTGCAGAATAAACATAGTTACTATAATTCAGAGGCAAGTGGTTTCGCCAATGGAGAATTCACTCAAACTGTATGAAACAAACTGCCAAGTCCAATGTTTTAGTCGCACGATTTATTTTAAAGCTTGTGATGCGACCCGGGCCGGCGTGGCGTTAGGAGTTTTCCTCGCTCTGCACCGTACCAGCCTGCGACTCGTCCAGGGCGCTCACTTCCATGGACACTTGTGGGGTTTCTAACGCCGAAGAGTCCAGTGCTGGTTCCATGCTTGTATCCTGGTCTATTGATGACTCCTGCTTACTCACATCTGTTTCTGCAAGCAAATATAGAACTATTTATAACTATAATTTATGAAAGAACATAAAAGTTTAAGAGTTAATAATTATTTACCTATACCTAAAGGGATGAGGAAAATGTGGCGAAGAAAGTTTTAGGTATGGGAGTTGAAGGGTACAAGAGAAGGGGCAGAACGAAGAAAAGGTGGATGGACTGCGTGAGGGAGGATATGGCTAGGAAGGGAGTAAACAGTGAGATGACGCACGACAGAGTAGAATGGAAAACACATACATACTGCGCCGACCCCAAATAAAATTGGGAAAAGGGTAGGCTTATGATGAAACTAAGTGACTACTAATAGTTCATCATAAAACTTTGACATGGGGTTGTGATTTTTTTCTCCAAATTATTAAAAGACCATGCTCAACTCAGTAGTAATGAATACTTAAAAACATAACCCTTCCTTGGCAGTCTGGTAAAATTAATAAGAAAGCTGAAATCTTTCATATCACTTAATTTAATAGGGATTGTTAAACAATTTACTTCAACAATTGCAATTTAATAATTTTAAACTACACACTATTAAAAACCTCTCGCAGTTCAGAACATGTCAGAGTATAGAAGTGCCACAATTGCGTCTGTTTGTTGGGCTCCAATAAATATGGTTAAGGTAGACGAGTGCTCTTGGTCAGGGCTGGTCATCGCGGGACTGCTATTACTTTAATATGGTAGTTATATGTGAGACTGGTCATGTTTCATAACCATATTCTTATGTAACATTTTCCTTACATTTCATTTGTGCTTATAAACATTGTAACCAAATTATTTCTTGCCTGTTCTTCTGCTGTTCTAAGCATGAAACAATGAGCAAGAAACAAGCAACTAGCTTTGACTAACTGAAGATGACTAAACATTAGCAATTCATAAATACCCTTTTTTTTTTTTATTAAATGGTTTTGATTTTATTAAAAACTTTTATCTTGTAACTTTACTTACTAGTTTCAGTCTCCTGTTCACCATTCTCTTTAGTAACTCCATGGTTTTCCTCCTCATGGGCATCTTCATTTTCACTATCTTCTTTGTCAACATCCATGGCAAACTTGTCCCGTTTCTTGACCCCTGTGTCCTGGCTGTCCTGATGATCTTGGTGAGCCGGGTCGTTCTCCTTGGCGGCAGGTCCGCCCGGGCCTCTTGGCCGTAGACAGCGCTGCTCTATCCGATGGAGCTCTTCTTGAAGTTCTTGCTTCTTCTTAGTCATATACTCTGTAGATGTAAGGTGCGTTATCGTAAATATGTTATAATAATGAGCAGTTGAACCAAACCACAAAAATCCAATATTTGTCTAGGTAAGTTGTTATCTTAACCAAATAAGAAAATTTTATATTTAAATAACTATACCTGTAGCTGAAATTGAAATGACTCATAATTACTTTAAAATATTAATTATTAATCTACTCACTGCGATATAAAGGACCATATTTAGCTGTGAATCGTAAATATGAGTTAGTTAGATTTGTGAACTAGAAGTGAAAGTATTTTAAGATTTATCACAATGCCACTTAGATTATCCTTTTTCTTTTTTTTTCCGTGCGGAAATCCCCTCGGATACCACCTGTCGGTGGCATGTCGGACTCGAACCGACTAAAACCGCACGCCGTCTCGGGTACTAATAGCCGGGGAACCAGGTATACCCTAGAAAGGAAGTCCCTGGTGCACTTAGATTATCCTGACATAAGGTAAAGAGTTTATTGTGAAACAAATTAAAATTCACACACATTAAAATACTCTAATCTCTGAAACCATCCAGAAAATAATCCTTTAATTAGCATAATAATTTTATCAATTTTCTTTTCTTTTAAAAAAGACTACTCCCACATTAAGAATGTATCCTGTGTCGCAGGGGACTTTACAAACATACATGAAACGAACACAAAGAACACCCAGACTCAGAACAACAATTCGTGGATCACACAGTGTCATCCCATGTGGGGTTTGAACCCACAACACTCGTCATAGTAGGAAGCGATGTGGCCACCGCTTAAACCACTATGCCATGCGTGCAGTCAATTCATGTATAAAAACTGATGTTGCTGTAATACAATGGGTCAATACTCACTCTCATGATATTTTCTACTGGCGTCCAACTTTTCATTAGCTTTATCAGACATCTTCTTAGGCAACCAGTAAACGTGTGGTTTGGACTTTGTCAGTATAAAGTTACCAAGGTTCTTTTGTGATGCCTCCCACTTCTCAAACTCTTGAACCCGGCCCATCTTGGCCTCTAAAGCTTTAATTGTGGCTTTCTTATGTTCTCTTTCTGCAAATAAAGTCTTTCTTTCTTTCTGCTCTCTTTCCTTTTCTAATCGGGCTTGTTCTTCTATTTTTCGTTCTACTTGGGCTTTTTTATCTTCCTGAAATGTTTTAAAGAAGAATATGATTAAATCATTAGACTGATCATTGCTGTTTACAACTATAATTGTGTAAGAATAAAGCAAGAATTTGGCATAACTTCATATTTTATACATTGACTACTGATCAATAGTATGTGTTTAGAGTCGCTGGCTTCACATCCACCCTCTCTACGAATGGTTTTATTTTCAGCTTAGGAAAAAGACAAAGGGAAAACACAGATGGAAGATTAGGGTAATGAAAACAGACGGGACAATGGAACTGATGTAAGGGATACTGCCAGTGTCAGATGGTGAAAGAGCATAGAAACTGTATTGCTTGAAGAGGCTGGTATTTTATACATATTGTCCGTTTCATGTTATCAGAAAAGCCGTTAGCTTCAACATTATAGACAAGTGTTAAGTGTAATGTTATGCTATATTTATCATTCTTTTTCCAAAATAGTAAATTCAAAAACCTACCTTAGTTTGTAATCCAATTTCTTCCTGTTTGAATTTTTGTAGAGTACCTAATAATGATCCGAAAATGCGTCTATTCCGAGTCCTAGCCTGTTCGTCATCACCCTGTGCCCGGAGGACTGCAGCTCTAGTAGGCAGCTCTCGACAAACTGCTGATGGCACTCGTGCTCTTTTATTACCAGGGCCATCCTCTTCACCATCGCTGTCGTGAACACGGGCTGATAATCTACAAAATCGTAACATCTATTTAGAACATGCGATGAGAAAATAATGAAGTGTGTTTTGACTAATATTTGTATTATAAACTGTTCCTAACTGTACAAAACACATTTTGCCTACTTCACAGTCAGCAAGTAATTACTAAGCTGTCACTAATTTAGTTTCAGATAAAGGGAAATTGGTATATGCATATCTCCAAGGTAAGTTTACTTTAAATTGAACAAACTCATTTCTGATTTATCATTGTTTTCTTGTCCTATGATAATTCAAAGGCCTAACAGTTAAAGTAAATTAATTAAATATTGCACACAAGATTGTTTACGGTAATAATATATATTATATTAAAGAGTATAATTATTATTTATATAAACAATATGAATGAGCTCTAGTAAGTAGTTTGACTTTGAAAGAAATCTTAAAACATGCATATTGACATTATTTAATTGTAAAGGAAATAACTAACATCATCAAGTAATAAAATGGATGACACACAAAGAAATTTAGTAAAAAAAGATTAAAATAGCAAAGCCGAAGGTTACATGTTCATAATTTGTGCAGCAGAATTCATTTTACTGCTACTTCTTATCAAATCAATGTATATACTTGTAATCAAGTTTTCTGAACCGATTTTATTACGCAATATACATGTACATACGAATCGCTAGTACATAATATTAATCAAATGGAATAATTGCAATTAGTAACAGCAATAACTGTATACCTGCTAAACACAGTTTTGGTTTCATGTTTTCGCTTTGCGAATTGATCTTCATTTTTGAAATTATTCGCTCCGTCTAGAAAAGCATTTCTGCCTCCTGTCCTGTTGTTGCCTCTGGGGTACTCTCCTGATGAATTGAATCTACAAGAAAATCATGTCGTAAGATGAATAAAATTAACACGAAATAGTAAAATACACAGTCAAGGTGATCGTGAGCACTAACCTATCGTTGAATCTTCCGGTTGTTTGAACAATTTTCTTTATATTCTCATCTATTTTAAATAAACTACTCTTTTCATTTTCTAGTTGAGTACGTAAAGAACTGAATGATATAGCTACTTCTGTCCCCATATTTACAAAAACTATGGAAAATCACAATAATCATTAATCAGTTCAGCCTGTTTAACTTTTTTTTAATCGAATTGTGCTTGAGCACAGATAACAAATACGTTTATTCCGTTCAAAAACTTTATATTTATTTTAAAGATCCACCATTTACTTTCTTTTTATGGTTTAATAAAATTTACAATTGTTGAATTAAAAAATAATTACATTTTAGTATTAATGTTTTTCGTCTTTAGAACCTAATACAAATAACATTAAAAACAAAAGTATTTTGCACAACCAGTTTCTATACGTGTAAATAGATGGAGCTAGTGGGACACTACATTTACTACTACTCAACAATAGATGTCCAATTTCAAACTTGGCAACGTTAATTAATACCTATTTAGTGAAAGCGAAATTACCAGATAGGTCTATTTGTTTACCACAAATCTATAATGTATAACTTAATAACTCTAGCATTTAATGTGAATGTTTCAATTTGATTCTTTATAACCACTAAACCTTACACAAATGACGTTAATACATGCTACTAAATCATGCGTCCTCCGGGCGGGGCAGGTGGCGAAAGGCGGGCGGTATTAATTTCACGCGTATTCAACCGCGGTTTAAGCTGCGCCTACGCACGTTGCTACAAAACACGTCACAAAAATGGTACACAGAACATTCAGCTATTTACTTCGCTGTCCATCACTGATTATATCTCGTTCGAAATAGATTAAAACTATTTTCATAAACTTCTTCAAATACTTTAACGTTTCATGAGATATTGGCACGGTGCATTGGTTTAGACATAAATTGTCGTCCCAAACGACAATAACAGGTTTATCGCTTTTTAGAAGATATTAAGAGGTAAAGAACAATAATTCTGTAAATGTAAAAAATACGACTGTACTTACAATTTGTTGACTAATATATCTTGGTTTGTCCGTAATAATAATAAATCTTTCCACTGTGGTTAAGTTTGGAAGGCCCATTTGTTCAGCAGTGAACGTCTTTCGAATGAAGTTTTCCTTTAAAAAATTGTGTTAGGTACTTGGCACAGCAAATATTGATCAATAAATAATTAGTTACTAGTTGTTTTATTTTCATGTATTTTATGTATTAACTAAAGAATTAGAAGTTCACACCTAATAAAGTCAGTCTCTAAAGTAAATTCTTAAGCTTAAAAAAAAGGTAAAAAACACTGAAATTAAAAAGCGAAACAAAAAGAAAATAATAATGCTATCTACGATAATTAAACGAATTCTTAACAAATTTAGAATAACAATATATCCAAACAGAAAGATAATTAATTTGAGAGTTTTTCTGTAGGGGTCGCTACACTTAGACTTGAGTACATCACGGTCAATGGCGCATGCATCCTCGATGCGCGGGCGCAGCGGGCTGGGAGAAGAGAGGGGGAGCTGTAACGCCGCTGCTAAGAAAAAAGCAATTAGCTGAAATGCGGCGCGCGGTCGCCCTCTGATGTGGCAGGGGTGGCGCGTGAGGTTAGAAAATCAGAACACAAAGACAAAAATATATCTATAATTTGCCGTCCTCTTGTGAAGATTACCTGCCTACTGTTTGCTGCTTCTACCACTACTACTACTGCGAATGAGTTATAGGCATCACGCGTATGATATTAATTGTGGGCTGCCTCAATTTCTTAAAACTATTTACATTATTAGACTCGTAATTGACTTGATTAGAAGATACGAAAAATATTAACAGTTGTAATATGTAATGATATGTAACAAAAATTGCGACACTAAGTTTCTAATTGACAAATGGATGGTCTGAAATATTTGATTTGCAATACGATACGATACGATAATACGATAAGCCAAATTTAGGTAAAAAGGTAGTAATTACGGTATATTAGGAAAATAATGAACTAATAGACGAAGAAGTAAAAAGAAAGAAATTTTACTTAACACGGCAACTAGAGCGCGTGAGTTTTATATCACTGATTGTCTTTGTTTATGAATAGCTAAAATGTAAATTGCCACCGATTTATGTACAAACTAAGTACGAGGATATTTACTTTGATTTTGGAAACGAGTGTTTTAAATAATTTACGAAAGTTAATCCACCACAACGCGAATCTTTTTTGTACTATACTCCACCAGGTTCCTTGTACTCAAAATTATCTTTTATTACCTTATGCTCATTACATTATTAATTAAACATTACTTTTATTTTAGATAATACTGTAATAAACACAGCCCTATTGTCGGCAGCGATCTTCAGTTTCGTCTAAATCCGTCATTCGCGGCCAAGCGTTCACGCGTGATATGAAAAATGGTCGCGCACTTACGGAGACACTCGCGTACCGCCTGCGATCAACGTTCGCTGTTTACGTTCATTGTGATCAGCTTTGATCATTTACAATTGATTCTTACTTGGATCATGTTTCTGTCACTTTCAACACTATTTTAACATTATAATCTGCTTAGAGAGAGTAGGTAAAAGTTCTGAAGATTGTTTTTGTAAGCTCTAAGTAGATATGTATATCATAATTAATGTTATCAATTAGGATATTAGTTTGTCAGTTATGCTCTTATGCCTAAATTACTTAGCCAATTACCATGAACGTGACATAGAATACCTTTCATCTAGAAAAAATACTGGGCCGTAAGGAATGGCAAAAATTCTTTGAAGCGAATTACGATAAGCAACTATGATAGTTTATAATAAAAAAGTTTGATCTATGTATGAATATACAAAATACATAAAAACATATAAAACTTATTCAATGAAATACCTTTGTCTTTTGTAATATATATAATAATAACCATTATATATATAAACAACCAGGCCCTATTAGGTAGGTATACATTTTTTTAAAAGGATTGATATACTTTATCCTTATTTTTTACTATCGAACTCACTATCGTCTTTTCTTCTATATTTATAGTTATATATGACTTTCATTTCGTTAATAAAAAAACGTTATTTTTTTTTTCTTTACCTTCAGCGGATGCTTATGTTTATGAATGTTTTATTCTACCACTGGTGGATTTCCCATGAACTGATTGTCTCAAATGTATGTATTCAGGCATGTTATTTATTAATTACAAATATTGTTATTTCTGTGAAACACTTGTTACCTTAAATGTACCTACAAGCTGTCTTTCAGTGGTTTGTGTACGATCACGCATTTTTGAGTGCGCGTCGTACCGCACCGCAGCGTGTCGTGTCCCGCGGTCACGATTGCTTACTGTAATTGATGTTCGGAGATGTTTCACATAGAACGGAACTATAGTTATAAACTCAGGACATGACATCCGCCTATTTATAGCTAATGGAACTTTTGTATTTCAGGAAAGATTAAGGGCCACACGAAGCTGTATTTATCTCAAATCACTTTTATTATTTGCCCATTCACCATTATACACCACATTGCGTTTATCCCAATTTGTAGCTGACGTCTCGTAACACAATAAATTAGAGGTGTTTTGTTAGGTCTAAATGTAGTAAGATAAGATAACAGGAGACACTTGCCTGGTGTTGAATTGAGTTATAACTAAAATGTACCGTGTATACTGGTTGAGGAATCGCAATTTCGTAGTAGACAAATTTTATAATAAGGTTAAACAATTCTCTTCAAACACTTAGGTACCTCATTTTCTTGTCCTACCTAATATCGGATTTTCTTGGTACATTATAGTTTTGCTAAAACTTAGTACACTAATATGATTCAGTACGAAAGTATTTTCAAATAGGAAAGAGAGGAAAGTGTCAGAGTATATTTATTAGCATATAATAATATGATGGCCCCAGTGGTCTTGTAAAATAAAATATAAACTCTTTTTCTCTCTCTCTAAAAGTACAAATGTTAATCCCTTCTCTATATTTTATCCGTGTGGTGATGGATTAAGAATACGGAGTGTCACAGCACTCACAACCCCAATTCATCCCGTCTCGTGGGTGTCATAAGAGCCTACTAAGGGAGAAAACTACGGAGGACAACAGCACTGCAAAGAGAAGGAAAACTTGACACAAACCCTATACCCACCCGTGTGGCCAGCGTGGTATACTTAGTAGGCCAAAATCTCCTTTCTAAGGAGAAGCCTATGTGTATATGGCCAGTAGTGGACTATTAAAGGCTGTTGATGATTGATGATATTTCAGTTAGTAAAATAAAGTAATTGGGAGTAGAGTCTACATGAATAATACTTATTTTTCTAAAAATTGAAAATTCCAGCAGTTTCACGTCGCCCAAATAATTAGCAAGACCGCAAACCTTGCTGGCAATGAATCAGTCAACCCGTGTCGTGTCGAGTGGCGATCAAAGACACCAGACGAGAGGGCCACGCCGACGCCATTTGCAGTTGCTCCGACAAAACAACCACCGCCATCTTGTCGCTCGTCGGCTGTCAGCCGCCGCGACGGATTTGGCGGAACAGTGCACGCGTACGATGCGCACCTAATAAAACGCTTATACTGATTAATTGCGAAGCCCATTACAAATATTTTCTTCGAATAACTTCGTCTGGCTGTCACGGTTTGTCTGCTAATAACTTTAGAACGGTTGAAAATGAAAAAATGCGCGCTCGGAAAACGCAGAACTAAAATGTTTTAGTGTGACAAGTGGGGCGGCTGCGGAACGAAACGTATTTTTAATTCATCTCTAGCGGAACGAATTAAATAAATCTTTGATGTGGAAAACAGAAATTAAATTGTTAAACATGACTACGTAATGTAATGAACGATTGTGGTGACATATTATTGAAATATTAGGTCCTTACATATGAAATTAGCGTTTTGTCGTACTGACCACTTTGATCTGAAATATCTCCTCTTTGGTTAAGAATTGAAAATTCAAATTTAAAAATTCATTTAGCTGGTACATTTGAGTTTTGAAAACAGTCATTCATTTGTTTTTTCCTCATAATTTTTTCTTTGGCGTTGCTTATTACCGCACAATGGAAAACATGAAATATTTATATAATAGTAGTATATTTATATACTAGTGATAAAACTGTATCAATCCACTTGAAGTAAATCGGGCAAGTAAAAAA